AATAGTGAAAACATAGATCCAATTAGGGTTGCATGCACACATAGGATTGTTTGTATAAAACCTATCAATAGAAAGGATTGGAATTCTGAGAATTGTGTTAAACACTTTCAGATTAAAGTATTTGGGTGGTACTCTCAATATTCTGTAATCGGATAAGACTCAGAGAGACAATAACTTAGAATATTTTGATGATAGTTTCGTATGTACCAGAAATGAGACCAAAACTGATTTTATGATCTTTGTCTGAAAACTGTCATATGACAGTTTTCAGACTGTCATAAAACCATAAAAACTGACATAAAAACGGAAGTTTGGATAAGGGTCAAACAATGGTCAATTCTCTAAAAATCCGATTTTCTGCCCCTTGGACCCCGCCCCCTTGGTCAATTCTCTGCCCCTTGGACCCCGCCAGGGGCTGCCGCTTCTTGGACCCTGATCCTAGGGGCGCTGCCCCCGGACCCCCGTTCGTTTAGGGGCTTCGCCCCTAAATGATAGTGTACTTTGAAACTTGATCAAACTTAAACAAGTGTGTACTCCACACCTTCCTTACTTGTTTAATATTTATCAAGATCACTTTTGGTCAACAAAGTAATCCAATTACACTTAAATAATATTGATGATAACAAATCACCAACAACATATAAACATATAAACATATAAACATATAATCATGCTAACACATACCATAACTACAACCAATATCATACAATACAGTCATCGGGCCTCGCCCGACATCGAGTCTCACTCGGTATACATATCAGCACATAACACATGCAAGAGTCACGCAGACATCTAACATCCTATCATAAATAATCATGGGCCAGCATTGGCGACTTTGACCCGCTAAGTACAGTGATGAAACTCACCTCACACTGCTGAATCTCACAGATAAATCTCGAGCTGCTGGGCCGCTAAAATCCCCGCGCTATCAATCACAAAATAATCATCCAACCAATAATCGGATCCCGACCCACACTAAGAGTCCAAACTAGGGTAAAAGACCTTTTTACCCTTTCATGGGCCTTCAACCAAAAGAGTCCAATAGAAAATCAACAGCCCAATAATATAATTCTGATGGCCCAACAAGTCCCAAGACGACTAAAGTCCACCATGGCCCAACACCGAGAAGCCCACGAAACCGAAGCCCACTGCTGAGTACGTAGGGCGTACTCAGCTCGTACGCTCAGCGTACACGCTTAAGGGCTTGTACGCCTAGCGTACTCCACCATTTGGCCAACCTTCAGTATTTAGCTCTTAATCGAATAAGACTCCAACCCAAACTCAGATCTGACTTCCTTAAGGTGGTTTATCGCGTAAAGTTGCCAACTTTACGTGCATGCATGGCTTAATGAGGCTTTTACAGCTCAAAAGAGCTTAACAAATGTCTTAACACATGCATGAGGCCACAAATGCCCTAAAGCTTGCATTTTTATGGACAAAGGGACCAAAAGGGTCCTAGATCTACCAACAATCACTTGTGGAGTGAAGCAAGAGGCTCAACAATAAAACCATGCACTCAAAGAGCATAAAATGGCACCAAACTAGATCTAGCATTATGGATTAGCAAGATGGAAGCTTTTTACCTCACAAGGAAAGCAAATGGAGCTAATCTAAGATCTTCAAGCTCCAAGCACAACTCCAAGTGGTTCACTTCTTCTTCTCCTTTACAATGCACCAAAAATCACACTTTAAGGCTCAAACTCTCAAGATCTCACTTAGGGTTCGATTTTCTGGACAAGAAGGGATGGAGGTTGTCTAAACATTACCTAGTGAAGTTATCACAAGGTTTAAATAGGGCGCAACACCTTAAAATTAGGGTTTCACTTTAAACACCTCATTAAATCTAGCCTAGACATCATTCTTGTAAGTAGATCAATCAGTATTATGATTGGAATCACTGATAAATCTTATTTATACATTCATAATAACGACTATGGATACAAATATAAGTTCCACTTAAAGTGTAGTAAGTGTAGCTTAACTTACAAAAATTTCTAGAGAAAATCGGAAAATGCGCGAGCAAAACTTTGACCCGGAGCTTCTATTTGTTGGACTCTCCGATGACTCAAAGCCCCACTAAAACACTCTAAAAAATGAGGGAAAAGTCGGACCAAAAGGGAGGGAAAAGCTAGAGAGAAAACTGGTTGGAAATGTGAGTGAAAATGAATAATTTCGGATCTATATATAGGGATACAGGGAGGCAAGCCGCGTCAATCCATAGGCGTGTCGTGCCCTTGCTGGTCTCAGTTGTGTGGAGCCACGTCGTCGACAGACGCTTAGGTTTAGGGGTGCTACATGTCATAATGTTGTGGTGCCACGTCGCCTTGTCCCTTGTCACTCCAGCCTTGCCACATGACATCTCGTGGTGAAGCCACGTCATCATGTCAGTCATAAGGATCCGCTTTTACGGTGCCGCCACGTCACCACAACAGGTAATTTTCGCGAATTTTCGAATAGCCATAAATGAACTCTGTTTTTTATGTTCTTTATATCCACACGTAGGTAATTCTGAGTACTACAACTTTCCTTTACATCTCAAAAACTAATTATCACTCTATTTTAAATTCATTATTTTATAGAGATTAAACTATTAAAATCCGTGCGAAAATCATAACTCCTTCATACGAACTTCGTTCTCGACTATCTCTATATCGACGGGTTCGTATTTACGAAATCTTCAACTCACGTTTACATTGTTTTGTCTAACAATCAACCGATTTAAATTTTGATTTCTGTGTCGCATTGAAATTTCGAAAAATCATAATTTCCTCGTAGATTTGGCGTTCTTTATATGCATGCTTTCGCTTTAACGATTACTACGAATTTTGTTTAGGTTACTTAGAATAATAAGCAACCTCTCTTTGATTCACTTTTTACGACACGTTTTGCCGTATAGGGCTGAACGCAAAACTTCTTCATACGAAGTCAGCTTTAAACGTTCTTTATATCTACGAAAATTGTATTGACGTCTACTACATGTTTATGATAATTATTTTAGCTAAAAAGTAATGTATTTCTACTTCGAATTTTATAAACAAACTATTATATTGAAATTTTCATGTAGAGTGAAAATGAAATGTTATACTTTTTCGTCCAATGTATTCTATTTTTAAGATCATATCTTCCTGGTTCGGGTACCAAAAAATAAAAGAACTTAGTCCTTAGAATATGATTTTTTATGGATTACTAGAAGATAGACTTTTGATGTTAGAGGAAATGAAACATTTTTAGTTGGACTACTTACTTTTGACTAAGCTTTTGTATGTATCTAATTTGGCTTCATTATGGTTGTATTTATATGAAATTGTAACCCCCAAGTTAGACTATCATTTTCATAAAGAAAAGTTGGGACCAATTTTAAAAAAAAATTGATTTTATGTCATAAAATGTTCTAAAAAGTATCCTATTTCAAAATATATAAACGATGAGTGGTGTTACATTTTATATTCTATTATTCATGTGGTAACCATACCAATAACACAATGTATTATTTACTTTTAAGTGAATTTGGGGGAAAACAACCATTAAATGCATACATCGTTGCTGGATACAAACATTCATTGAAAATCTTAAACAATAAGCATTACGTCAACTTTTTCCTTACCCTATAAATATATATCACACACACATTATAGAACATAAAATCATTTTTTGCCTCAAAACATGTGTTATTTATTTATTTTTTTGAATATACGCTTTTATATTATACTTATTAGTTAAAACATAACGAACATAAAAATATATTATATTTCTGTGGAGTTGGCTCATTTGTCAAGGTCAGATCCAGAAAGATACACTAAGAAAAACCCTGAAAATGATGAAATTATTGACCAAAAATGTGATCCAGTCTGTGATATCAAATTGAATTGGTCCCTTTTCTACCTCTCTCCATGTGCACCCATCTTGGCAATTGGCCCATTTGGCATCGATAGATATATCTAAATGTATCTACATTCAAATATATAAATTTTAAAAGTGAATCGTTAACATAAATTCTTTATAGAATTTTTTAATCTTGACGTACCAAAGATTCTTTGTTTTTAAAAGTTAGAAGTATATTTTATGATATATGAGATATAAGTAATCTGACCCGAAAGAATATTCCCCTTAAAGAAATCGTGAAAATGTTAAATTATATCAAAATATATAACGTAATTTATGCTTAATTTAAGGTCTTATATTATGAAAAAACATAAATAAAAAACATATTTTATTTTGAATTTGTGTTTGGGGACCATATTATCGGATCAACCGATGATCACATGTTGTAACTTTTCAAATATGAAATAAATATTGTATTTTATTTTGTTTCTATTTAAGGCATTAAAAAATTTCATGGCCTTGTTTTCAAAAGTGTCTCGTTTTAGTAAATTTCTATTCTAAAGAATATCATTCAAAATCAACTTTTAGAAAATAATATTATAGGTTTAGTAATTGAAGAGTAATAACCAAATATCCTATTTATTATATATTTATAACATATAACATATAATATTGAATTTTAATTTTAAAAGTATGTTTTCGTATAATAGAATACCAAAAGTATGTTAGTTTTATTGTATAATTTTCCATTTACAAGAGTACAAATAATACACTATATAGTTCATCCCGTAAATAAAAAAACAAATGTAAAATATATATGAAAATACAATGCCAAAAACAAAATAACACAAATTACTTTATATTTCGATTGTAATTAAAAAGAAGCACATCAAAATTTAAAATACTTTGTATGAGTCGACCTTCCAAGCATAGAGAAAGAGGCAAAACTCGTACGAACAAATTGGATTAAACCCTTCAACTGAACCACAAATCCCTGCCGGGGAAGGTGAAGTCGGCGGCGGCGGTGAGGGTGATGTCGCCGGAGACGACGGTTTTATGATGAACAATGCATGCCTTAAACCAGGACTAAAAAGCCAATCATGAACATCCCAATAAACTTCGATCTTTACTTTCTTGAAAAGAATCGATTCATTGCCTCTAAATTTCCATTGAAGATGCTTCACATGAACCATCAAGTCACCATCGATTTTTATCTCCATTTCTGAATCATCATCCCCATTTCCATTGTTTCTGTTCTTGCATTCGATTGAAATCTCGTGAAATCCTCCTTTTTCATCGAATTTAACTCGTGTGTGGAACTTTTTCTTCCCAAAAACATGTTCTCGTCTCGAAACTAAAATGGGATCGATTAAAGCAGGCCTGCAACCTGTTTTTCTATAAGCATCTTTCCTCATATCCCCAAGAACAAGCACCACCTCTTCGCCGGAAACCACCGCGACGTAATACTCCGAGATTGGTTCTGTTTCGCCGTGAAACTTGGCAGCTTTGAGGTCCCAGAAAATGTCGAGAGGCTTACCATCGACTACAAAGCTTTTAGACCCTTGTTTTCTCCAGAAGTTCCATGGCTTCAGTTCGACTTTGCATGTGTACTCCGTTTCCGGTCCATCAACGGACACTGATAAGCCGTGAAGCAGCAGGTTTTTGCACCAAGTGACAGTAATCAGACGACACTGATCGGCGATGTTGGCCTTGTAAACGGACATGAAAACGCTCTGGCCGGTTTTCGTGACTGTTGCAGAATCTTCCGTCTTGTCTCCGGCGGAAAAACAAGCTGGGATTCCAATTGGGTCTTGCATGTCTTCTTGGGTATGGTCTAGTTTTTTGGGTGTTTTCAACTCCGATGAGCAACTTTGGGAGAGAAGTTTTAGAGATAATCAGATAATTAATGGAACTATTATGGAATATATACGATATGCCAGATGGGTTTTCTTGGCAGTTGTAATGGAGTTCAAGAAATAAAAAAAGGGGCTTCAAACTGGCAGTTACATGAATGGAAGTGAGTGAACAAAAGCCATAAAAAGGCACCAATTTGCGAAACCTATGCATGTGACCTGCTTGATGAAATGTTTCAATGAAGAAGGATACAAGTCTTTATCATCTTTTATTCATATGGGGTTGAGGGTGTGTTTATTTAAATAAATTAAAAAATCAAGGCAAAATTGTCTTTTTAGGTAAGACATTGACTAAGCGCGTAACAAAAACAAATAGTAAGGACCTTCCAAGTTAAAAAAATAAGTTAGGGACCAAACTTGAAAATTACCCTAAACCATAGGGACCATTCGTGTAATTTACTCTAATATTATAAATTTTTAAAAATGTTTAATTTGATTTATATTTTTTAGAGTTAATTAAGAAATGATCTATTTGCTGGTTCAAAATTTCATTCAAATCCCTTAGGGTGAGCAAAAACCGAACCGACTAAAGAAAAACCGACAAAACTGCAATAAACCGCAACCGAAAAACCGAAACCGATACAAAAACCAATTGTGCGAATTTAATTTTTGCAAAAACCGAAGGTCAACGGTGCGGTGCGGTTTCTATCCAAAAAACCGGTCCACCAAAACCGAACCGCACCGCAAGCGTGTATAGTAATAAATCAACCAATGTATATTATATACATGCTATTTAAAATACTTATAAACGATAATATATTTATTATATGTTTATTTTTGTGTTTGTGTAAGACTATATGGGGTGCAAAAGAAATGTTCTATTGTTAGCCAAACGTACAAATCGATTACATGTAATAAGCATGTAACAAATTAAGTCAAAATCAACCAACTTTCAATTATTAATTAGTTTGTGAGAGTAATCACATGCTGTATTTTAAGCGATTTACAATTTTTGATTATGTATTTTTGTTTTGAGCTGAAAATGAATGGTTTAAAAAAAACAGTACAATACAAGCTTACATGCACATGGTTTTCAATTCTTACAGATTTAAAAAGCCACACCAAAAAACATAAAAAACTGCACCAAATTCTAAACACGGTTTAAAACCGAAACCGCATTTAAAAACCGAAAAACCGAACCATTTCAAAACCGCACCC